AGGATCCACTTCTCCCTGAATCTTCAAAACACAACCAATGGGAAAGGTCACCCAGACAGCAGAGAAAGGAAGGTTTCAAGAGTGCAGGTGGTTGGGAACGCTTTGGCAGAGGCCGTGGGGGGGTTTTGGGGGGGAGAATTTGGCCTAATCCTACAAATCCAACCCTTCGTGGTGAGGATGCGCTTTGTGTCCGCCCATCCTCGGACTAAAGCTCCTGGAAGTGGGCAGGAACCCTTAAATGAGCGTAAATGCTGTTGGAGAGGGAAATATTTGGCCCCAGAGCCGACGAGAGCCTGGCCTTGTGTTTGGTTTGAAGCTGTTTGATGCAGCTGCACCTGCACGGGGAGCTGTGTCTTGTGAAAGGAGCACCCAAGCTGACAGCCAGGACTGCCCTGAGCTCTGTTTTGGGAGGGGAAGGCACCTAAAGCACTCACTGACTGCAACAGCAGGAGCACAACACCTCTGTTTTTTTTTAATCCCATCCAGGGTGATAAAACTATATAAATATATATATTGTATATATATGTATATATATAAAAAATATATACTTATATATACTCTGATTTGGAGATGTGAATGGGGGAAATGCTCTCTCCAAATGTCCTTTCTCTGCCTGCTAAGTGCTCTTAAGATACAAGAGGAACAACGTGAGGGCATTTTCACAGCCTTGAAGATCTTTGCTGTCCTTGGTGGGTCGTGGGGTGGCTACAAAAATAAAGATTTGGGTAAACTGTGGTTTACCCAAACACTGAAACCCACAGTGACTGACCAGATTAATTGCCAGGAGTTCCTCACCCCCTTCACACCAGGGAGAGCAAAACTGGGCTTCAACTTAAGGACAAGTGGATGGGGAGACGTAAAAATTGTTCAGCGTAGGGTCTGATCTCCAGGCTGTGAGATGCCCAGCTCTTGGATTCCTGGGAATCCCCAATCTTTGAGTTTCAAAAGCGGGTGGTTTGAAATAACTGGTGGCTAAAAGGGCCAAAGGGCTTCAGCAGAAAGGAGGTTGTGGAGACCCACAGGCCTGGGAGTGTGGTGACCATTAACCTCCCTTGGGTGACCACAACAACCTCACTTGGGTGACCACGACAACCTCCTTTTGGTGACCACAACAACCTCCCTTCTGCCACTGGGCTGAACTCAAAGAATCCTGGAATGGTTTGGGTTGGGAGGGACCTCAAAGCCCATCCAGTGCCACCCCCTGCCATGGGCAGGGACACCTTCCACCAGCACAGGGTGCTCCAAGCCCCGTCCAACCTGGCCTGGGACACTTCCAGGGATCCAGGGGCAGCCACAGCTTCTCTGGGTAACCTGTGCCAGGGCCTGCCCACCCTCCCAGCCAGCAATTCCTTCCCAATATCCCATCTGACCCTGTTCTCCTCCAGCTTAAGGCCATTCCCCTCATCCTGTCACTCCTTGCCCTCGTGGGAAGTCCCTCTCCAAG